CGCCGCTCCCTCGGGCGCCTGCACGGCAAGCACTTAAACACAGCCCCTACACCTACACACAGGCAAATCCTGCTCTTAAGGTTACTGGGCCACACCGAAGGAAAATGGGAAGGTCTTTTTTATTGAATCCATTGGCAATGAATTAGCACTAAAAAAAAAAAAGTCATGCTTGCATGAAAACAAAACCAGTGGGATCTATTATCTATAGAAAACCTGAACCACCCACTTACTCCCACCTGTTCGCTCAGTCTGTTCCATGTTCTACTGACAGAAGCTGTACTGTGCCGTGCACACCTCTCAGGTTGACTATCACAGCAGCAGCTACTGCTCTCAAGACTGACAGAATTCCAGGTTAGCTCTCAAACGATTATTTGTTTATACCAAAAAAAAAGAAAAAGAGAAGCGTGAAGTGTTTCCCTCTTAGTTCAGTGTGGACACTCATTTGAAGCTAGCAGAAGTTCATCTCCAACTAGAAGCCAAAGGAAAAAGTGTTCAGTGTCCAGAGATGCCTCCACAGCCTGGCAGAGCTCCAGCCCATGCTTCTGTAGCCAGTGCTAAGGATTACAGGTACAGGATGTCCAACTGCAGCTATGATAGGATACACTGGTTCCAAGTTAAAATCTTCTCTTCCTCACAACATGTACCAGGGTGTGCAATTTGAAGCAAAGCCTTCTCTGCCAGAACAGCTTACCTAATAATTGCCTAATCCACAAAGCCCCCCCTCTTCATGCAAAGCACCACTTTGTTAGTGAAGCTCTTCTCTTCAAGTGACTAAACTTACCTCCATCCTCCCTCCATCCCTATTTTAAAAATAAGAACCTGACTGTGCTGGAGACGACACCAGGGAATAGCACCAGTGCAAAATAACCTCCCAATAAACCAAGAACAGCACACCCCTATCATCCCACTTGGCTTTAAAACAAGCGAGCCACTTCAATTTAAGATAGGAAGAGAGTGTTTTTCAGCAGTACCTGTGGGGAGGATGACAAAGTGGTACAAATGCCAGCGGAGGACTCGGAACGAAGTGGTTTCCCCGCCTGGATGGCTTCAGGATCAGCAGCTTGCCCATGTCCTTTGGGTATTGGCTGGGAGATGTTAGGTGGTTCCAGGGACCCAAACATGCTTTTCCACTCTTCATTTACATTTGAATCTTGCTTTATGTGTTTTCTAGCTATAAGCAATCAGGAAGGAGAAAAAAAACAAAACACCAACATAATCATGACAACTTTCACCCAGGCTGGTCCTTGTTTTCAGACTACATGCGAGTCTGATGGTTACATGCCAGTTCACTGTTTGTGCAGTTAATGGAGAGGTACTGCTAGGGTGTTTAAGCCAACTGACACTGATTTATGAGGCAAACAACAAAAGTGGCAAGTGTTCTGCTTACGCCTTCTTAATCCTACTGTTGACTGTGTAATAAATCATCCCAGTATAGGGAAATGCTGTGTCTAAAAGGCTGCAGGATCAGACTCCACATAATTTTTTCTTAGGAGAGCTACTCCATTACTGGCATAAGACAGTACACTGTGCAAATCACTGTTGATGTCAAATACAATTAGTTTTCCATCACAGTCACAACATCACCTGTAGATTCAAGAATGTTATGAATAAATAGGAAATTTATTTATCTTCAGCATCCCTCTGGAGTCACTTAAAACTGTAAAATATAAAAAGCAAAATGAAAACATGGGAGAAATTAAATTTGGGCAAAGTCAGTGAAAAACTTAAAGGCATGAAGACTGCAAGTGACAGTTTTGGGTGAAGTCAAACAGTTCAAGTACAGACTTCATATAACTTCTAAATCCTGTTTACTACTGACTCCACAGGATGCAAAAATCTGAAAAATCCTGTATTTAGGTACTTTCCTTTAAAATGATATGCAAAACCTTTGCAGGCTAGCATCTTAATTCTGTAAATAAGATGGCAATAGGTACCTGGTTTGCAGCTATTTCTGTATTTTCACAGAGAATAAACCAGAATTTTTACAGAAATTAACACAGAACCTATCAATGGTGTACAGTGGAGGGCCTTACAAGCTCAACAGAGCAAAGAGGAAGAAGCTCGCTGTCTGGAAGAGAATACTGAGGATACATGGAACTGGGATAGAGTTAGCAGCAAGTGGATTTCAGAGCTGAACAAAGGAAATAAAAGCATTTTTTTGAGCTGAAAAAGGAGCAAGGAACAAAGTAAAATGAGCAGCTGAAGAAACTTAAGGTCTAAAAGCATGCACTTGGTGGGTGAGCACCAGCTGGCACTCTTCAGTGCCAGCCTGTTTCAGCATCACACCTAGGTCTCCATTTCCTCCAGGCCACCTCAGGAAAACATCCTGGATTTTCACCTTAAGAGCTCAGCACTGGAGAGGAAAATGAGCTAGCAGAAATGTAGCCTAGGTCATTTGCATGGTTACAGTGTGTCACTACAGTTCTGTTTGTGAGAGTCAGCCAAACGACCCGTGCATACTGCTACTGCAAATGCTGTCACACTAGTTCAAATACTCTCAGGGGCAAAATATGCCCATCTTTCACAGATCCAGGAGCATTCTGGCACCTCACATTTCAAACAACAGCAGTAACCTTCTTATTGCCAACTCAGTGAGGATGGCGATAGCTAGGCAGGCTGAGTAACTGAGAACACTTGCTGATTAACTCGGACTCCATTCTCTGACCCTGAAAGAAAGGCTACACTTCATCTATGCAGAGCACAAAATATACCAACCACGTTTGTCATCAGGCTCCTGCTTTGTTTTAACAAGATCCACTTGTCTCCCCATTATTCCCAGAGCTGACAGGTCAATCACTCCTTTCTGACTGCTGTCATGAAGGTGGCTCTGATCCACTATATTGGCTTTAGCTTTATTTGATTTTAACATGAAGTCTTTCAGTGCTAACAGTTTGTCTTCTTCCTCCTCAGTCATCCCCTACAGAATAAAAGGAAAGATATTATTATTTACTTCTGAACAAGAACAGGCATTGGGGCATGGAGAAGTAAGAGGCAGCAAGATCAACGACTGGCTCAGCCGGAAGGCG